TGAGGCAAGTGAGGTCTGCAGTTCTTTAGATGTTGTTCTGGGTTCTTTTATGACCTCTTGGATGAGTCGTCGTTGTGCTCTTGGAGTCATTTTGGTCGGCCGGCAACTCCTGGGAAGGTTCACCATTGTTCCAAGTTTTCTCAATTTGTGGATAATGGCTCTGACCATGGTTCGCTGGAGTCCCAAAGCCTTAGAAATGGCTTTATAACCCTTTCCAGACTGATGCATGTCAACTGTTTTGATTCTCATCTGTTCTTGAATTTCTTTAGATCGTGGCATGATGTGTTGCTCTTTAAGCATGCTTCACTTTGTCAGACAGGTTCTATTTAAGTGATTCCTTGATTCAACAGGTCTGGCAGTAATCAGGCCTGGGTGTGGCTAGTGAAATTTAACTCAGCTTTCTAAAATAATGTGGTTAATTGCAGTTCTGTCATGATTTAACAATTTTTCACGTAGGGCCACGTAGGTTTGGACAGCTTTTTCCCTCAATAAATGAAATCATCATTTAAAAACTGCATTTTGTATTTACTTGCATTATCTTTCTGTAATATTTAAATTTGTTTGATGATCTGAAACATTAAAGTGTGACAAACATGCAAAAAAATAAGAAATCAGGAAGGGGGCCAACAATTTTTCACACCATTGTATGTCTTGCTGAATGATATTTCTTAATAGGTTCTAGGGCTGCACGATTAATCGCATGCGATATTTAACGCGCATCTTGTCAGAAAGCCGGTTCTGTAATCAGCGGTAAATCTCCATCACCTGCGTGCTTTCACATTGAGCAGCATTTACTACACAGAGCCGTTGTTCACTGACGAGCTGCGCTAAAAATCGCGCGAATATGAACGTGGTTTGGCGCAGCTCGTCAGTGCGATTAATCGTGCAGTCCTAATAGGTTCATGTTTGAAACTAGATTCTAAAGTATTTGCTGACAACTCTAAAAACCCATTTAACTAATGGATGGAGATAATACCAAACACATAATGGTTGAAATGCTTCAGCTAACCCCAATGAATAATTGTTCCTTCACCTGATATTATTCACCTGATTACCACGTTAACTTAAAGGGATAGTTCACCCAAAAATGAAAATTTGATGTTTATCTGCTTACCCCCAGGGCATCCAAGATGTAGGTGACTTGGTTTCTTCAGTAGAACACAAATTATGATTTTTAACTTTAACCGTTGCAGTCTATCAGTCATATAATGCATGGCAATGGTAACAAAATCTATGAGAGTAAAAAAAGCAGACAAATCCAAATTAAACCCTGCGGCTCGTGACGACACATTGATGTCCTAAGACACGAAACGATCGGTTTGTGCGATAAACCGAACAGTATTTATATCATTTTTTACCTCTAATACACCACTATGTCCAACTGCCTTGAGCACGGGCACGGCATCCGATGCGTGAGGTGTGTACGCGCTCTGGCGTAGTTTACGCAAGCGCCGGAAGTGATCTCTCGTGCGTATACGTCACTCATTGTTTACACAGTGCACAGTCATTGTAGGTACGATGGCTAATCTAAATGGTACTTGCGCTTATCCGGATTGTTCAAACCAACTTAAAACTAAAAGATTACGTTCTCTCGTGCGAACTCATTCGGGAGTGGTGACTTTCCACGTATTCCCAACTTCTGAGCCTGCTCGCCTGAAGTTATGGTTGATTGCTCTTCGGCTGGATATCAACACACCCTTTAACGTAAACTACGCCAGAGTGAGTACACACCTCACGCACCGGATGCCGTGCGCGCACTCAAGACAGTTGGACATAGTGGTGTATTAGAGGTAAAAAAAAAAAATTTGATATAAATACTGTTCGGTTTCTGGCACAAACCGATCGTTTCGTGTCTTAGGACATCAATGTGTCGTCACGAGCCGCAGGGTGTAATTTGGATTTGTCTGTGCATGTTTGTTTTTTTTACTCTCATAGATTTTGTTACCATTGCCATGCATTATACGACTGATAGACTGCAACGGTTAAAGTTAAAAAAATCATCATATGTGTTCTACTGAAGAAACAAAGTCACCTACATCTTGGATGCCCAGGAGTAAGCAGATAAACATCAAATTTTCATTTTTGGGTATACTATCCCTTTAAGTAACCTCCCATTTATCATACTTAATGTAATTTACTCGAAGAAAACCGAGAGTATCTCTTCCTCAGTAATATTCAATGTCCATGCTGCTTTCCGCTGCTGAAGCTGACACACAACGAACAGCGGAAACGATGACAACTGACAACAGCTGACAACCCAAGTAATAAACGAACAAAAACAAGATTTTTGACAACTGATATGAATATACCGACAAGAAAGCAGTCGCATGAAAGATGCTGTGAAAGCATGGCATGAATAAACTTGTGACGACGCTTAACGGAACACTAACGCTAGCCGGACACCACCATTTCACTTTATAAATAAAATAACCCCCAAAACAACAACAGCTTGAGCTATCTCGGTCGCAGCGAGCTGTCCCGTTGTCCTTATTATATTTTCTTCGGTCGAGTCTTCATGAGACAACAGATTTAAAGAGGACAGCTCGGGTCAGAGGCGAGTGTGCTTTAGCATTTTAGCATCAAGATGGCTTGAGTGAGTGAGTGAGTGGATGTGCCGGTGACTCTCACCAGTGCCAGTTGTTGACATTTGTAGCATCCGCTCTCTCCTCCACGATCCAGCGAGGGTCTCCTTCTCCCCACTTCGCCATAATGATTTAATACAGATATTCTGCTTTAAATGAATGAAGCTGTGGGTTGTGACAGAAATGTGTCGGCCACGCGTGAACTCTCGCTTCTGGAACCCTCTCGACGGCTGCCTCTGGTTTTGTTGCTCGTAGAAATTACTGGAAACGGAAGTGAGTCGCGCTCAAAGCTCTCCGTGCTAAACTCTGGCTGCTTGGAGAAGATTCCGCACGAAGAAGAAGAAGAAGATTCCGCTCGAACCTGTTCCACGTGAGATGCCAAACAATTCTGTGTAGCTCCATACAAAACAGGAGACGTTTGGCGTAGATGTAGTTCTGTTTGTTGGTATTACTAAAAGTTTTTTATTTTATTACTGTTTTTGGACATGAACCGTAGCAGTGACATTTGTTCTTGGGAATCCAGTACCTTGTAGTACCACGTAAATTATGAAAGAATTTAGCTGACTTTTGAAATGTATTATGCAGTGTTTTTGCAATGAAGTCAACATAAAAAATGCGAAAAAAATTATTTGTAACGAGTTTTAAAACATGAGATTCTTCAGCAATAATTTAATCTTAGGTTTGAAGCAAGTTTTAAATAAAAAAAACTATTTATTAAGTGTGTGTGTGTGTGTGTGTGTGTGTGTGTGTGTGTGTGTGTGTGTGTGTGTTTTAGAGAAACAAAAGACATTACATGCTGGTTAACACATTTGTCTTTACCATTTACAAAAATTAATTATTACCAACGGATTACAATTTAAACATCCAGTCAGGATTGCGTGTTGGTTCAAGCAACTAGACTGTGAGAGCAACAACACTTTACATGTGTGGTAGTCTCTTGAACTGTAGATGATTTTTCAGCATTCATTGCAATGTGTTTGTGACACTGAGATCACTTACCCTAAGCTGTTTTCCTCTGCACAAAGGCACAATGAAGCTCCTGATTGTGGCTGCACTTTTTGGACTGTGTCTTACCCAGCACAACCCAAACACTAAACATAATAGGACCTCCATTGTTCATCTGTTTGAGTGGCGGTGGGCAGATATAGCTGAAGAATGTGAGAGATACCTGGCACCAAATGGCTACGGAGGAGTTCAGGTATGTTTACAATGCTTATTGATTCCAGCACAAATTCGCCTGCACTGAACGGAATGATAAATGTGATGTTTTGAAACTTCCTGAGCTTTCAGATTAGATATGTACAGAAGGTTTTGAATTATAAAGGATTATAAAAAAATGTGAAAACCTATAAACAGTTCGTTGTTGTGTTTAATTTTACAGATCTCTCCCCCCAGCGAGAGCATTGTAGTGACCAATCCTTGGCACCCTTGGTGGCAGAGGTATCAACCAATCAGCTACAACTTGTGCTCCAGATCAGGAACTGAGGAAGAGCTGAAGGACATGATCACACACTGTAATAATGTTGGGGTAACACAAAACTAAAGCTCATAGCATCGTACCTCAAAAACAGTGAAATGATGATGCTCCAATGCAATTGATAACTATGCAGCATCTCCTTTTGTGCTGCTGTGCCGTCATGTAGGTGAACATATATGTGGATGCAGTGATTAATCACATGTGTGGAGCCGCTGGTGGAGAGGGCACTCACTCCAGCTGTGGATCATACTTCAACGCCAACAAGGAGGACTTCCCTTCTGTTCCCTACTCATCATGGGACTTCAATGATGACAAATGTAAAACTGCCAAAGAAGAGATTGAAAACTACAATGATATTTTCCAGGTTCTTGTTTGCAGTTTTTAACTCTTCTGTGTAAACACTTCAAGACATGTTCTTGTTGTTGACTCCATCTTGTTGATTTGGTGTTGACAGGTCAGGGACTGTCGCTTGGTGGGTCTACTGGATTTGGCCCTGGAGAAGGACTATGTTAGAGGAAAATTAGCTGAATATCTGAACAAACTGATTGACCTGGGTGTGGCTGGATTCAGAGTTGATGCTTGTAAGCACATGTGGCCTGGTGACCTTACTAACATCTACGGCAGACTCAGGACTCTCAATACCACTTGGTTTTCTCCAGGCACCAAGCCCTTCCTTTATCAAGAGGTATCAGCATCCCATCAAGACCAGAGTTACTTAAAATGGTTGTTGAAAACATTAACACAAATGCCTTTTTTTCAGGTGATCGACTTGGGTGGGGAGCCCATTAAAGCCAGTGAATATTTTGAACTGGGAAGAGTGACAGAATTCAAGTACAGTGCGAAACTGGGCACAGTCATTCGTAAATGGGACAAAGAAAAGCTAAGCTATCTCAAGTATGCAACAGTAACTTATATTAGGACACAGCTCTCTGGAAAACTTGATTCTGATTGGTCAAATGCAGCATTGCGTAGCCATATATTTCTGTATATATGCTTGTTTTAATCTGCATTTGTACTTAAAATCATGCTCAACAAAGTTTTGGCTTCTAAGAGTTATTGAAAGAGTTGTAAACCATGTTTTGTTTTAGGAACTGGGGAGAGGGTTGGGGTTTCATGCCTTCTGATAGAGCTGTGGTGTTTGTGGACAATCATGACAATCAGAGAGGTCACGGTGCTGGTGGAACTTCTGTTCTGACATTCTGGGACTCTAGGTAAGATATTTTACTGAAGAACTACGATTATTCCTACTGTGAGTGGAATGTTTTACATTGTGAATTTTGCAGGCTTTATAAGATCGCTACAGGACTCATGTTGGCTCATCCATACGGTGTGACCACAGTCATGTCTAGCTACCGCTGGGATCGACATTCTGTGAATGGAAAGGTAAATGCTTTCACATAAAATAACGATTACATTGAAGTCTTATAGTTGGTTAAACCCACATGCTTGACATTATATGAATGGATAGTAGTATATTAATAGTAGGGCTACTGTGATTATTAGGGGTATGTGATTGCAAGTAGCAATGAAAAGTTAATTCTGCACTAAGCTGATCTAATAATTAATGTTTGTTAAAAATGTTATAGATTTATGTAGAAAATGAGAATCATTAAAAATTCATCACCAAATATATTTTGAGACAACTTTCTTGTTAATGTTCAGTTTTGTTCAGGGTAATTAAATCAACAGTTTATTTGTTTTTGTTTTGAGGAAGAATGTGTAAAAGTATGGTACTTGGGGTAAAACACACCCCTGTTTTTGGAGCTAAAGGCACAATAATTGATGTGATCATAAATAGCTGACTTCCATGATAAGATGGGCCCTCCAAATGCACCAGTGTTAATTTTGACAGCAAATTTTGATTTGGTTTTAGTCATAGTCTTTTGGCTAAAATGCCATTTAGTTTTAGTCATATCATAAGATTTTAGTAGACTAAATCTACAGTAAATTTAGTCGGCTAATATCTAATGGGTTTAGTTACAGTGCATTTATTAAGCTGTTCTCTAAAATTTCCAAAGTCATTATATAGGTTTGATATAAAGGTTTTATCATGATAGACACCGATTTAACTGTGGTGACCAGTGTTGTGCAAGTTACTTCCAAACTGTAATACATTATAGATTACTTGTTACTGTTATTTAAAAGTAATTCCTTACCTTACAATATTACTGTCTCAGAATTGTAATGCGTTACATGACTCCTGTATTACTTTTGAGTTACTTTCACCAAAATACAAACTACCAAAATAACTACAGAAGTAGAACTTAAGGTAACACTTTATTTTAGGGTCTCTTAACTAGTTGCTTATTAGCATGCTTATTACTAGAATATTGGCCATTTATTAGCAGTAATTAAGCACATATTAATGCTTTATTCTACATGACCTAATTCTATATCCCTAATCCTACCCAATACCTAAATTTAACAACTAGATTACTAATTATTAATAAGCAGCAAATTAAGAATTTATTGAGGAGAAATTCGTAGTTAAGTGTTCCCTATTCTAAAGTGTTACCATACTTAACATTCTAAAATCACAAAATGTACTGCAGAGCATTTTACATCCAATAGAGGGCGATATGGCGTAGCATAATGACTGTGGGCTATCCAGGCTACAAACAATATAGCTTATAATTGGCAAAGTGAAGACTCAAGACAATGCAAGAAAGGATGACAGCCAGAATCACAAACGATCCAAGTCTGTTAAAAGTATGGTAGAGGTAAAGTGATTATCTGGCAATATCTGTGAATAGCTTGGGTCTATTCATATATGCCATGACAAGATGCGCATACATCCATCTCGCGCATGTACAGTCCTCTGCCATCTTCACCCATTAGCCGCTTTTCCACTAGCCAGTGCGAGCCAGGGCTTACAGTGAGCCGGGCGGGGCTAATAGCCTCGGACCTCAAGCACAGAGTCTCGTGAAAACCAACATTTGTTAACAGGAGCAAAGGAAGCAAAGTTTCCTTACTTTAGCAAAGGAAAACCAGTCTCCTCTTGGCTTATATCGAAATCCTCCGACATTCTTCTTTACAAATCCTCGTTTTGTACTTCTAATTAGTGACCGTTGTTTTGTTTTGATCTCTCCCCTGAGCTTCCGCGTGCGTCACTTCTGAGCGGCGCAAGAAAGAAAGAGTACCCGCGCGCTGTGAGACGCTTTTTCTGTGTGTGTATGCTTCAGTGTCTGCGCTCAGAAAACCGGACCGAATTGAGTTCTCTCTTGCGTCGTCAGATTTATCCATATGTCTGCTCTTCTCTTACTCCCACATATTGACATTTTTTAACGTTTTATGCGACGTGCAGCAAGTGTATGTTAGCTTATGTCCCGCCGGTTCATATGTAAGCATCTAACCTCCGAACCATGCAGCAGATTTGTTCTGAATTAATCTCTTCGCAAATTGTCCCTCCCTAACATTTTAGTCTCGTTTTTATTTGTTGACGAAAATGTCAATAGATTTATGTCATAGTTTTTGTCATTCAAAAAGAGTTTTAGTTCGTTATCTTCTCGTCGTCGGCGAAAAAAATGTCGTTGACACAAATTATGACAAAAATTATTTGTCAACGAAATTAACACTGAAATGCACAAAGTTCAAATGATTGATACAATTGGTTAAGTTGGGCATCTACCTTAGTGTCACATCCATGGACATTTTGTTGTGTTTTCATTCCCC